CAGAGGAGATTAGAATAACAGTTTCCTCTAGTTATCAGAGCCTGGATTGCAGACACATGTACAGTATGTGGGCTCCATCTGCAGCTCTCCTTATTGTTTTCCCATGATGCACATGTCATGGGAACTCTTTGGGTCCAGTTCACGCAGTCATTCATGTCTCATGATTCTTGTTTTCGGCCAATCATGTGACAGGCTATGCCTTGGATAATTGATCTTACGCTGTGCCGCATTAACCAATTAAAAATGGCTGTTTGTCCCCTGTTACAGTCTAAGCAGAAGGCTGAGTTTCTCTACTCTTATCTGTTTGATTCCTGGTCATGAGCATGATGATCATCTAAGATATTGCATAAATAATGACTTAAATGTATGCAATGCAATTTATTATTTGATCACTTGTACTTTTTGTGTCTCTTGTGTAGTGTGGTAGGAATTAAATTGTTACCCTGTTAGTCAAGTTTGTTTGAAATACTTGTTTAGTTTATATATTTGAAAATGAACTGATAAAATGTAAAACAAATAACTCAAAGTCCTGAAGTCTTCTAAATCCAGTTGAGAATCTATGCTGAGAGGTTTCATGTTTACAGAGGTGCTGCTATCAAAACCACACTTCAACCTTTTCTAAATAAAAAGAGATTTTAAAACATGGCTCTGCCTCCATGCTGATACGGTTTAAAATGAGAATCGATCAGTGATCCCCAGCCCTGGTTTGTATATGTTAAGTTTGAGCCGGTTTGTAGACATGATTTGGTAATATTTGGCTAAATGCACAAAACCGGATGAGATGCATCACAAGTGACTGACCGTTTTTTTTTTTTATTATCCTACAGAGATGGCACATTGTTTAAATATTAATTCATGAAGAAATCCTAAAAAATCTCTATTGTTTTACCTTAACTTTGCAATCCTGCTCACTATGCTTGTCTGTTACTTAAAATCCAAATAAAATAACCTAAAGTTTGCATTTTTAACGCACAAAGACATTTCAAAGGAAATTTCTTCGAAGCATGACCAACAATATTTTATTTGCTTTTTTAAAGGACGTTACTTGAAATATAATTTTTCAATAAGAGTTTTTTTTCCTGCTAGAAAAAACACTAATTAAAAAATAAGGAAAAAAACAAATAATCACAATTACCTTCTTAACAAATAACTGTCTTTCTGTCAGCTTGAATAGTATAGGTACATTTAAATGGATACATTTTTTTCTTTAGCATAATGAACAGAGTTATTAACAAAAGGCAAAGGGAGGGAGCAGCATTGAATGTTTTTCATGTGATTTCTAGACATCATGCAGAATGTACTAATGAATCAGTGGATACATACACATATCAGCCAATGCAGGGGGGAAAAAACCTTTGATAATGACCAATCAGAAAGCATCTAATTTACGTATCAGTACATCTCAATGTACCATAGATCTGGTCATATTTGCGTTTCGCTTTAAAATAAAATAAAATTTTAATGGTGTTGAATGGTGTTCAAAGAATCTGCAGCCACATTCAGAGTGAAATGCACTGATCTGATCCAGAATTATCAAAATAAGATTTGCTCAATGTGCTCATGTTTTTTTCCAAATATTTGGCCCTTCTTTGTTTTTAAATCCATTACATTTCTCAGAAAAGGCCAGTGTGGACCTGCTCATCTGCCTCCTTAGAAAAGAGAATAGTTGGAAATGTGTTGAAGGATCTCCTTGTTTGCCAGGGATTTTTCTTTTCCTCTTATACTGATTCAAAGCTAATGAAAAGTGACCCTTTCTAAGTCCCTTTTTGCGTGGTTTTAGTACAGCTTTTCTTTGACAGCACAATAATAGCTATTGTTTCCCTGGTGAGGACATGGTAGCTAACAGGGAACCATGCAAGCCAGTGGAGGCAGTGTGACGCCTTGGGAATTGTTCTGCAGGGATGCTTTGGGTTCCTCCATCAATAAGGGTTTTACCTTGACACACCTAAGCATTGTCGCAACCCGTACACACCTCAATAAAAAAACATATTCCCTGATCCCTGTTGCGTCTTTCAACAATACCACAAAGCCAAATTAGTTTCTGCAACATAATTACTGCATTAATGTATCAACTCAGCCTGTACATTTCCTACATTTCAGTCCAATGCAGCTTTAGCTGGATGTGTCACACAGTATCTAGAATACCTTGGTGTATTATAGAGTACTGCATATATCTGTTTATCAGTAAAATTTATATTGCAGAGAAAAGCTTGGCTGTAGTATTAGGTAAGCTATTACACTTTAATGCTCTGATGTTCAAAGAATCAAACTAAGGGACATTAAATTGTACGTGCATTATTTATTTATTTTTTTTTGTTTCACACCAATGAAATGAGCAGATTGTGTGATACAGGCAGTTTGATAGGGACCGTAAAAGAAAGATAATGATAATTAAAAAGATAAAATTAAATAAGAATATTATAAATATTGTACTCAAATAGGTAGGTTATTTCAAAGTGCTAGTAAAGATGTAAATCAAATAAAATGATTATAATTACAAAATTTAAATATCAGAGATGTAATATGTAATAAAGTTATCTTTGTCTGCTAATTGACCCTTGCTTTGTGCACAGAACTTTATGATTTATAATATGAAGAGAGAAAAATCCCAGTTGTGGCGAGTATCCCTCCCCATGTCTCTTTGTAGGCTCTTTTTATGTTCTTTTATATTTTTTTCATATAATCATGTCAAATATTTAACTTCAGTCATGTATAAAGATTGTCTGCCATCCCGCTGCATTTATCTTTAAATTTTTTTATTAATATTATTAGATTTGTTATTTCTGGTGGTCCATATATCTTTACGTGCACACAGAATCTATTTCTCTCATCTCTCACTGTACCTTTGGAGTTACATCGGCCGCAGAAAATTTTGTGCGAGTTTGCACCCGGCTTTCAGAAGTACCACCTGCGTGTGAATATGTGCGTGAAAGGATGAATAACTAAATGTCCAGTTATGTGCTTTGGAGCCTCCTGACTTGAAAATGGGTTATTTAGGTACAGGACTTTTACTATTTACTAAAAAGATGCAAAAACTGCAGCCGTAATTAAGTTTCTGATTTTGAAAATCCCTTTGCATGTGGTAAATGTTTACATTAGCATATTATCCATCCATGAGTTTGTGTCAATATCATCTGCATATTGATGAAGGCAAACTGTCGGCTGAATTGTCAAAGCAAATAACTATACACCTTCTTTGAAGATCTGCTCTGTGCCTACAAACATGGTTGCACCTATTTTAAGACCTTCTAAAGGTCAGGAACTAGTGCCATCAATTCAAGTAATTAATGTGGCAGGCTGGATTTGTTTTAAGAAAAAAAAAAAATCCTGAAGAAATAGAAGTTGATCATAAATGATATCTTCTTTGAATTATTTAACGTTTACCTGCCAGGGGGCCACTCTCCTCTAGTCTTTCTGCCGTTTACTTGTGAGGAAGACGAGATCGTACAGAACATGTGGCTCCAGCCTCAGAAAGTGAGTCTGGATACGTTACAATACAAAAATGTAGCTGCAGAGGAATATGCACCATTATCAACTTAAATTATGTAGTATATATTTCTAAATTTACCTTATTTTTGTGAATCCTAAAGAGAAACGTCATTTTTTTTTTACATTGGGCCCTTGATTTTACGTTCTTATAGCATGTTCCACTTTGTTATTAAAAAATATAAATATAAAAAATATAACCGGAATGTCTGGCGGACAGTGATTCGCCTTCATGCTATGAATGCTGGCGTACCATAAATAATAAATTATGAACAGTTTAGTTTGTGCCTTCAGCTCGTTGCCCAAAGAAAGACGTTACTTGGATTACAAAACCGAATATCTTCAGAACAGCTCCAAATAACACAAAACTCATATGGGTGAGTAGAACATGATAGAATAACGTAAAATCAAGGGGCCAATGTAAAAATAAAATAAAAATGGTGTTCCCCTTTAAGAGCTGTTTAATTTTACTCTAGGATCTGCATTAAACTGTCCACAATCTGGCATCATATTTTGCAGTGAATCCAAAGTTTAAATGCTTTAACAACGTTCATCAATGTGTGGGTTTGTTTATCACAAATATGACTGGAAAAGTCAACAACTTGTTGCAAACCTGAAGGGATCTGACCAGTAAATGGGGAGGGGGTTACGTTTTCTGTAGAATGGGGACCCATACACTATCAGGCAGGTTGTCATGTTATAATGCCTGATTTATGTATTTTATAGAGATTGGGTTGCTATGGAAACATGCTTATTCTTTATTTCTTCCCTATCAATCTTTGTACAGCTTTTAGTGTTTCTGTGTGACTGTTTTATAACAGCAACCTGCAGTTAAGTGAATGTCCTTGTTGCGTAGAAGGAATGAATAAACTCCAGTACTTTACGCACACAGTAGCACTTTTCTTTTGTTAAAAGAACACAAAGAGCTTTCTCTCCATTACTTCCAGAGCAGCCAGTTTAGCCGGGGGGCGTCCTCCCCTCTCATTCTGCCTGACTAGCATTACTGCTGCTGCTCTGGGTAGGACAGGCCTTCCTGGATTAGCGCTCTGCTGTAATCTGGGACACTGCAGATTATGCTTTTCATCTAATGCGCCCCTACACATATAACCACATGACCCTCTTGCACAAATGGAACCTCTCCTACTTTCTCCTCACTTTACAAGCTGGGTGATGGCAAGTAATGTAGGAGTGCAAATGGCAGAGAAGGTGTTGAAGCTCAGCAAGCAAGCATCCAAAAACCGGCGGCACTGGTTGCAGAAAGGGATGTTAGAATGATGGACTGAGAAGTGACCTTTAGGGTTATAGTGGAGAGGGAGAGACTATGTGTTTGTTTCAGAGATCTGCAACAGATGCTTGAGGGGACTGGTAACTTATTAAGTCTGCAAGGAGCAGAGTTTTAACAACCCTTTGGCCTGCTGCACCAATGAGTAATGAAAACGTGGCGTCATATTGTTTCATTTTGACCTTCCTACTGCTCTTACACCAATCTAAAATCTGCTTAAGTGTTCATCACAAAGAGAACAAGAGTCCAGAGTGTCGTAAGCAAGGAGAGACGGTGACAACCAGCACGCGGCTGGATCACATGCAGACAATCAGGACTCGACGGGCTCTGCGTAGGTAGAGATCGCGGCGTAGAGGTGATCTGCCGACCCGTAGATATGGAGCCTCTGGAAGAATACAGCTCTCCTTTTGATTTTGAACAAGGAGTCAATTCCAGTTACCTCTTCCTCTCCCCAGCTTACAGCGACACGCCGCCCAGTTCGCCAGCTGTCAGATCCAGAGGTAATCATAAGAAGGAAAGGGAGAGACTGAGTGGAGGGGGTGTGTGTGAGAGCTGGACAAAAAAAAAGCATGGCTTTGGGTCAGTGAACAGGAAGAATTTGGGAAACACTAACTGTAAGATTGTGGGGTTATTATTGTAGGTGTTTGCTATATTTGTTGCAGTTCCTCTTTAATTATTTTATACGGTTGTATCATTTTATTTCTCTTTGTAATACAAAACCAATCAAAATGTTTGAATATTATTTATTTTATTTCCACCAACGCCTGGTTTTCAAAATATGTTATGGGGCAAGTTTCCAAGATATAGTTGTTAAAATCCTAAATTTAATTTCTTTTTAAGACATATGTGTTCCTACCTTCTTTTATAACAATCATTGAGTCTCTGTGTGGTAATTAACTGATTCATGATACAAACAAGGTACAGTAATAAAAGAAAATAACATAAATGACAAGGAGCAATAAATCCAAATTCCATGGATACATTTATATATATATATATATATATAAAGTGGTAGATTTTGCTAAATGTATATAAAGTTTAACAGTTTTTGTAGTTTACACTGATCAGATTAATGATTGAAATGTTTAATATGTAATCCATGGTTTCCTTTTTTCCTTGGGGGATAAACACAAAGGTCTATTTGTTATCTTAGCCTTTACTCAAAATAAGAGAGATAAGAGAACGTCATTGAAGTTGGTTTAATGTCTTCTTTTTATAGGCACAAATAAATCATTGGGAATTGTTCATTTAACCTGCTAATTGTTAATTGGACTTTAATGAGATTTGTATGCCCTAAAAATTGACAATGATGGGGATTGTTACTATTTTTGTTGTAACTTTTTTTCTCAGTGTGGTGATGAACTGATATGATCAATTCAATTGAATTATCACAAGAAATATCAAATAATATAATGGTGAAATGTTAAATTCATCTATGTCATCCCTACTTTGTTCTCATCAAGTCAGAAAACAAAAAACAAAAAAGCTGCTAACCTAAATTCCCATGTATCTATGTTTAGAGCTAAACTGGGAAGATGTAAAACAGCCCTGATAAAGAGAGATTGGAGCTTATCTCACCACCATCCACGACAAAAAAGCAGATTAAACAAAACTATCCAAAAGTCAACCGGTGGACAACTGGAGCACATCTTTGATTTTATATCATGGTGCAGGGATGAGAGCTTCTAAAAAGAGGTTGCTGAACTGTATCTTGTGGCTTTAGTAAACTGTGTATCTTTACTATCTAACTGAGGAAAGATTAATTAAGGAGACTGGTTCTTTCCTAAATGATAGCCTGACTGCTTCCCTCTATGTGGATGATATTTAGTCCTCTTTACATTAGCCAGGAAGGAATCTCCCTGAAAATATTCTTATTATTTATGGTAAGGGCCGTTAAAACACATGGCCTTACATCTTCTTGCTAACGCTGCTGTTTCCAAATCTTCTCTTGTTCCAGATCTAGTTAGGTAGAGTAATCCGTTTCTTTTTCAACATGGATCTCAGTTTGAAGAATTAGAAATTTCTGAATAGAAGTTAAGCTTTTATTTTTGCTAATTCCTTAACGGTGCTTAAGGTAAGTTAACACTTTTATTGTAAGCATCCTTCATCCAAAAAGTGCTTTAATTTTATTTATCTTTTTCTTTTTTTTCCACAAATCTTGTAAAAATACAGTTTTGTGTTTGAAAATTGGAATTGTTTATGTTGCTTTGAAAGTTACACAAAATAGGGTGGTCATTGGGGGAGAACTTGTCGGGAGGAAATGATGTGACTGGAGGCGCCAGGGAGTGATGTGCAATTTAGTGGAACAAGCTAAACTTCCACGCTCAAGCCTTTGCCTTATTTCCTGCTCTCACGTTCTGAGTGAGTTAGTCCTTTAACAGCTAGCTGTGCAAATTCAGACTGTGCCACTGAGTGATTTCAGAAATGTAAAAACAAAATGCAGCTTCTTAGAGTTGACCTGAAAGTTTGCACATTTTATGTCGTAAACTATGGAAGTTCCTTGTTTATAACCTGGTTTGTAGCTGTATTATGTATGGCATTAGTGGGGTGGATCACCATTCTTTGAAAAAAGGGATTAATTGAGGGCATGATGAATTAATGTGACTCTTATCTCAAAGTATGTTTTATGAATATTTAAAACATTTGGAATAACTCAACTCTCAGCTCACAACATGTAACATTATTTTGTCAGTCACTACTTTTCTTTTGTCCAGAAATTAATCTGATTTTATGTTTTAAGTCAGCAGCATTACAGTAAAATAACCAGTCTATGTTAGTAGGATGGTTGGGTCAAAGTAAATAGGAGCTGCAAAAACAACATGTGATATTGCAGCTGCAAATGACAGCTTGGATGCACGAATGCAATAAAATCCGTCTGCCAGTGATAAAATCTGCCGACTTAATTGACTTCCACTGCTCTTTATGCCTGCACTAAAAGCTGAGGGGGCTGACAGGAACATATGATGGTAGGAAAGAACATGTCTTAAAACTGATCTAGTTGCAGCCTAAGAAATAAAACCCCCTAAATGGAGTGTTTAGATCTCTATAGGCTGCTCCTGTGTCAGTTGATAAACAGGTTTGGCCAATTTCCCCCTGAAGTTCCAGCATCAACTTCCTCTTTTGACTTCTTCTCTTTAGGTAAATTTTTATTCAGTTTTTGTTTATTCAGTTTTTGTGTTTTGTATCTCTCATTTTATATTAATATTTAAAGATTGGAGACTTATTTGTTATACGTAGTAGGGGTGTGCACACTTTGTAATCTTAGTTTAAAGTGCAAAAATATGGCTGCATCTTTGTCAGTGGAATGAAACAGTTTTTTTTTCTTCAGTTTTTTTGACTCATGTCTTTCAGCCATTGTTCTACTGATGTCTTTTCCACTCCTCTGTGAAGAGTCTGGGAGATGAATCTGTCTTTCTTTGTATTTCTCTACCTGCCAGGTTTCCAGGAGAAACCAGACTCAGTAGCAGAGATGGGAGAGGATGCAGTGACATCTGTTGGTCCAGCTCCTCTTCCGCCCACATTGACGGAGGAAGAGCGTCAGGAACTGCAGGAGGAGCTGGCTAAGGTCAGAAGGGAGCGGGCGTTAGATTGTTATTCAAATAATGTTTCCCTCTAAATCTTTAACCCCTAGAACCCTACGGACCCACCGGTGGGTCCAGCTGCTACGTGACCTTGTAATTTTAACAAACCCCCAGTATTGATGTAAAAAACACATTTGGCACAGTTTGGTGACATTTTTGGATAAATGTGCCAAAATGGCCTCTCCGCCTAAGAAATTTCTCACTAATACCATTCTAAAATAAATATGATTCATCTGATTGAGTCCAAATTTGGTATATTTTTACACAACATTTAGATTTAAAAGTCTGTACTACTTTTTTGTGCTATAAATAATATTTTGGTAGTGTTTTGCAATGTTTATTTCAAAGAAAATTTTGGCGAGATTCAAAAAATGCAAAATATTTTGTATTTTGTCCCTAATATTTCAGGCAGGGTCAAAGCTACAATGGTGCTGACACCAGAAAACCATTCATGACATCTTACCTTTACAGACGTACCAAAAGTTTCTTCTTAAATCTAATAGCTGTGAGGCTATAAGTGATCTACTTTTGTGTGTTTTTGTCAGGCAGAAATTTATTTATACCCCCTAAGGGTGTAAGAGGTTAATATGACAAGGCTTTTAATGTTTACACCTTTTATCAGTGGCCCTCCATTATTTATCTACAGTCTTTAACCCTGTTCCCCAACATCTACTTTCCTGCAGGTTTTAGATGCTTCCCTGCAACGACACAGCTGCATCGAATTATTGCCTTGTTACCAGTCCTTTGCCAAACCCGATGGCATGATGAAGAAATATTTCTGTCATTTGAATTGACCATGTTGGAGCAGGGATGCATCTAAAATCTGCAGGACAGTTGATTTAGATCATTATTATTTTTCCGTCCTCCGTAAACATTACTTTCATAAAGAAAAATTACTTATCTTAAAATGAAAATATTTTAGACATCATTTGCTCTTTAAATTTCTATTTCACTTGGCAACATTAAGTCCACTCTCCCTGCTTTATGTCTAAAGTGGCTCTAAGTTGTTTGGGGGAAAAACACATTGGGTGATGGGATCAAATCTTAGCAAATTTCTATATCAGGTTATTTTAGAAAGAAAAACTGATAAAAGTATTTGCGGAACATCCTCATGTTTATGCATAGTATATTGAGGCAGTGAAGCTATTAGACACATAATTGGTTTATTGAATTTCTTGGAATTGGAGAAAATTCTGAAAATCCAAAGTTTTTTAAAGACAAAAGCAGGATAACAGCATCTTCTATATTGTGTGCGTATTGATGACATCACAGATCTGGCTTTATTAGAAAATATGGATGTCAGGTTTTTAATGATTTCTGTCTTAGTGTTTTAGACAGTTGAAGATCAGAAAGCAAACATTTGAGCTGCAGGTAGTTTGACCTCGCTGATTCAAGGCCAAGATTAATTTTAGCGATTCCCAAATTCTGTGAGATGCTAATGACTGCGATTACCTTTGAATCCTTAAGAAAACAAGTGATTGAAACTTTCTGTGTCTTTAAGCATCTATTGAAGCATAATTATAACTCCAATAACTTCTGTTGATTATGATCTATTTATTCCTCTCAGATTTGATTTCTTTATTATTATCTTCGCTGTGCTTTGTGTCCTTAAATAATCATTTTGCTGTTTTCTCATTGAGTCCACATGTTTTGCTACCGACAGGCTAAATAAGAGTGAATTGAAAAATAGATCTCATTGAAAATTTACGAACTAAAAAATGCAAATAAACATATTTAGAAGGAGTCTGATCTACTTCTGTGAGTTTTATGTGCTTACTTCAAAAGATTAATATTTCATAATTATTTTCAGGTAAAAAAAATACTAGCTTTAGTCTAAGCAGCAATTTCTATCCCCAGCTACATATATTTATGTTCTTCGTTTCCCCCACTAATGTTCTCTATTTGAACTCCTGTGAGGTTAAACAAAGGCTACGTTCACAATGACGTGAAGTGACCCAAATCTAATTTTTTTTTTTCTACCTGATCTTTTCATGGCTGTCTGAACAACACAGATCCAATATTTTTTTTCTTACAATGCAACACCAGGCCACTTGGCTATGTGGTCCTGAATTTGATCTTTACAAGAGTAACCTGTGTCTGAACGGCCAAATCGCATTCATACGACCTGTACGCCATTAATACTCAACAAAGGTCACTATTCTGCGTCTTCCCAAGCAGAAGCGGGAAGAAAAATAACAACCATCGTGGACGACAATGCGAAGAGCAGTCTTTTTTTTTTTTTTACCATCTTGAAAAGATTAAGTTTTTAAGGTTGGGAAAGATCGGCAGATGCGTTCCAGAACTACCAACCATGTTTAATTTCGTAAACACTTAGCACGCTTGCTTGTGACGTCATTATGTCCTGTACTGCACATGCAGGACACTTCAGGAGATCACATACAAGTCGCATATATTTAGAAATGTGAACAGCAATGCAAAAAAAATTGGATTTCACAAAAAAAATCGGAATTGAGCATTTACAATGGATCCAGTTTAGGCTCCGCATCCCATAATGCAGCTTCATGTGTATGTGTGTGTCAGGTTGAAGATGAGATCCAGACCCTGTCCCAGGTGCTGGCAGCCAAAGAAAAGCAGCTTGCAGACATTAAGAGGAGACTGGGCATCACTCCTTTAAATGAGCTGAAACAGAACATCACCAAAACCTGGCAGGAAGTCACCACTTCCACAGCGTGAGTATTTTTACCTGACAGAATATCAGCTCATGTCTGACTGTATTTTCTACACATATCAGGCTTTTAGATTTTTGTGTTTCATCTTATTTTTTTCTCATCCATGCAATCATCCAACCAAAAACAAATTCTGCTTCAATGGATTATGAAATAATAATGAAATGACACTGAGCATGTTCAGCCAACCTTTTGAACTTTGCAATGAAAGAATGAAAACCTCATGAGCTACAGCTCTATTGTATGTAAATTATTCAAGCTCCTCTTTATGCTTCTGTATTTCTGAATGCGCTGAAAACACAGCTGGCTGTCAGCGCTACAGAGAAACATCTCCACTATCAGAGGGGGGGAAGATGCCAGCGCAGTTGACCGGTTGCCTGTGGCTTGTGTGCAACTGTTTGATGGGGTTTTCTACAGGAAATGAGCAGCATTCAGATTCTCCAAGGCTTGTTTTAAATGAAGAAGGCATTGAAGTTTGATTCTGACCTTGATGTTCCTTTTCAGCCTTTGATCCCTCATTCTTTTTTTTATTACATTCATATCCTCTTCTTTCCATCTCCCCCTGCTGCATTCCAGCTATCGGAGGACATCTGAAACTCTGTCTCAGGCCAGTCTGAAAGCCACAGCGGCCTTCTCCAACATGGGCTCAGCCATTAGCAAGAAGCTGGAGGATGTCAGGTACGCTAAATGGAAATCTGGGTAATCTCAGTATAAGCGGTTTCTGAGATGAGAAAACTAATCAGCATCTGTTTCAAATTACCCCAAAGGTGTTGTGATGTGATAGAATACTTAATTGTCTGAAATACCTTCAGTTTAATAGTGTTTCATATAAAATCCTAAAAGCATCCATTTCATATCAGGGGTAGATGTTAAGGATTTTTAGTGACTTTCACATTTCATTTGCCCAGAAACAATTTTTACTTGCCCAGTATAATGTTTGGTAAATATAGTTCCTAATATATTCATTTTTATATATATATCAATGAAACATGTTTGTTTTTTAAATGTTTTTTGTAATTCAGTATTTTTTTTAAGTTTACAGGTTCCTGGTGTGTATATGCATGCGTCAGATAATGAACTCAAGCCTACATTATTGTGTTAACATGCTTTTCAATCCTTCCTGCACATGCTTTTCAAACTAAACTTTGCTTTAAACTGTTGTGTGTTTGGAAAAATATAAATTGTAATGTTAAAAATAAAAAAAATAAAAACTTTACAGGTTAAAAACTACAGAAGTCAATGTCACAAATGAATAACTTTTATTTTAGAGTCACGGTATGTTGATACAAGATAATACTATTAATGTAATGTGACGTTTCTAGAGAATCATTATACATAGTTATTTTAAACAGGGTTTCCACAGTCTTACATAATTTCAGAATTTCCTGAGTTTTAACTGACTATGGATTAGTTTTTCCTGACAAAATAAATGCAGCAACAAGACAATAATAATAACATAACAGGTCACCAATTTAACATGTTTAGCTCTAAAACATTTAAATGCACCTCTCCAATGTCTAAGAGAAAAAAATTTTATGAACATTTTTTAATGTATGACCTGCATCACTGTACAGAAGACTGCCATATGATAGCCATATTTACACTGTGCGCATGGCATACAATTATGCCAATTTTCCTAATCCTTGACCGATAATTTTTAATCTAGGGTTATCTGGGTGGTGGGTGAAATGGGTCGAGGGTAAAATAGGTGGTGGGTGTGTTACTGTACTTAAATTTCTTTGCCTTGTTGTTGTTTTATACCTTGCCAAGTCGAAAAAAAATTTTCTGATTCGCACCAATTCCCAAACAAAAATCACGCCATCTGGCGGAAAATCACGCGGCTTTTCCAAATCACGCGAGAATGTGTACAAAACAACAAGAATGGCTCCGGCAACGCTTCTGGGTCGTTTTAATCGAATGTCGGTGATTTTAAAGTAATTTTGACTGATAAATATTTTTTTTTTTTCGATCATTGCACTTGCCCGGCGGGCAAATGCAATTAAATTTGTACTCTCCCAACAATAAAAACTACTTGCCTCGGGAGATCAGGCGATGGTTAACATCCAGCCCTGCATATAGAAAGAGAGATTTTGAAATCACTTCCGTTTAAATCCCTTCTTAGTTCAAACTTGACATTTTCTTTTGATAATTACAGGAAAAAGATCTGACAGGTTTTTGTTTAGTATTTAATTTTTTAATGGAGATGCATCAATTGCCTTTTCCTGGCTAACATGCATCTCCAGCCTGATTCTTCAATTTCTGAGCTTCCCATTGCTGTGCTGAAGTATTAGTTTTTAATACAATAGAATCTCAGCAAACATATCAGTATTAATACATCTATGTATGTATTCACAACCTTTAACTTGTTCTAATATTTAGTTTTTTTAAGATTAAATCTAAGTACAGTTAATTCCCTACATTATTAAAGCCATTGGCAATGAAAATGTGAAAGGAAATAACACGGGCATATGTCTCAAAAATGTCATCATTGCTATGAGTGTCTTTGAATTAGTCTTTGGGGGATGAACTCTATAAACCTCCTTTCCATTACCCTAATCTTTAGCTGTGTTTACAGATTCAAATCAGGATTCTATCTGGGCCACTCCCAAATGTTTAACTTACTTCTGGTAATTAAAAAAAGAGTCCTAAAAACCTAAATCACCAAAGGTAGGAATGGTTAGGATTAACTCTACATGCTGTTGTTGACGCGTTTATAGACCAAAAAAAGTAGTTAGAGGAACTACTGTTTTACAAAGCTGCCTTATAAAATAGTAGGGAAAGAATATCTATTTTTTAAGTATTTTTAATCCACTGAATACAGGTCAGATACGATTTAGAGGAAAATGGGGATCTCTGATTACCTAATTGGTGCCTCTACTGTTTTAATATTTGATCCATCAATCAGGCTTTTACTGTCCAATACCAAGTTCCAGTTGTGTTTGAGGTCTGACCTACTGATGAGAGATTTTAGTAACCCTCCACGTCACCCCAACTTTTATTTCATCCATCCCTCTCTGTCGGCTGGTCGGTCAGTTTGTGATTAAGCAGGATTAAACGGATTAAAAACACCCAATGGCAGCTCAGTGATCTTCCTCAGGACCTACGCTGTCTTCTTCCTTCTTCTCTGGGGATTATTGAGCAGCAAACAAGATTATTAGCCCCTGTCAAAGCAGCAGGTGCTGAGAAATGCAGCCTCATGGAGTCTGGGTCGTTTAGAGGGGTAAAGAACTGTGAACCCACAGCAGTCGGAGGCATTCCATCCCTACATTTGATCTTTTTTGTTGGTCTGCTCCGATGTTGATTTATGTGTTTGTTTGATGAGCAGATATTCACCCCTAATGCCGGGGATTAACACATACCCTCTGTGATAACACACAATCGATCTTAATGGGATGAAGCAGGGTTTATAGGCTTTATCCACTTGGTGGTATAAATTCTGTTTGTTCTGTACGTGAAGCCCGTCTTACCGTTGTTGTTCTGTTCTTTCTGTGCATGCTATGTTTTTATGCAACATGACTAACCCCAGCTTTCTTCTCCTTAATGCTGTCGGATAGCTTACAATCAATTCCACATTCAGCTAGTATGCCAGCTATAAGGTAAGGAGGCCAGCCCAACTGGTTAATGTTGATGTTACAGGTATATAAATGATGAATCAAACAAAGGAGTCATCAAGCTGTAGTCAGCAAAGAATTATACATCATCGTCCAATCTTATTGACAACCTTATTAAATTCTCAGCCCTTAAATGTTTCTAAGATTGGGAGGATGCCCTTTAAAAGTGATGTCCAATAATGTCAAGTATCCACAGATCCTGCCACTGCAAGCCAAAGTTGAAGCTTTAGCTAATTTAAAAGGACATGTCTTGTGAACGGCACAATTAGTCTGAACATATCCCTTAGAGGAATGTGAATGCAAAGAATCGGACAAAAAGAAGAAAGCTTAGCTAAATTACAAACTACAAAACACAACTCGCTGCTTATGAGTTTATCAGTCTACAACGTCACTACCAAAAATTAGGCAAAAAAATTTACTGTGTGAGAAAGAACCTCATGTCCACTCTTAAGTACACTGCCCATAAAGATAAAATAAACATGTAAACAACAGAATACAACTTCAACTGAAATCAAACTTCTATCTCCACCTAGGAAGCAACACTGATTGACAATCAATTTCACATTCTTCGGTGCAAATGAAATGGACAACGGGTGTAAATTATTGCCAATAGCAAGACACTCCATAAAGGAGTGGTTCTGCAGGTGGGGACCACAGACCACTTCTCAGTATAATGTCTTGGTCACTTTTGAATGTTGGTGCTTTCACACTTATGTTAGCATGAGACATACTCTACAACCCTCACAAGGGGCTCAGGTAGTGCAGCTCATCCAGGATGACCCATCAATGCGAGCTGTGGCGCTGGAGGCCCCAACAGGAGACAGATAAGTACACCAGGAGACATAGAGCAGGCTGTTGGAGGGTAACACCCCAGCAGCAGGTCCATTACCTCCACCTTTGTGCAAGCAAGAATAGGAGCACTGCCAGAGCCCTGCAAAAAGACCTACAGCGGGCCATAAATGTGCATGTGTTTGCACTAACATTTAGATACAGACTCCATTAGGGCCCAACGTCCACGGATTGCATTCCCTGCCCAACACCATGCATGTGCCTTGGCACTTACCAGAGAACAGCAGGATTTGCAATTTCGCCACTGGTGCCCTGTGCTCTTCACAGATGAAAGCAGGGGCACATGGGCACATGTGACAGGATCTGGAGACACCCTGGAGAGCGATCTCATGACTGCAACATCCATGACCGGTTTGGCAGTGGGTCAGTAATGGTGTAGGTGGCGTTTCTTCGGGGGGCCATACAGCCCTCCATGTGTTTGCCACATGGAGGCGCATGACTGCCATTAGGTGCAGGAATGAGAACCTCAGACCCCTCGTCAGACCATATGCTGTTGCTGTTGGCCCTGGGTTCCTCCTAGTGCAGGATAATGCTAGGCCTCATGTGGCTGTAGTGTGTCAGACCTTCCTGCAAGGTGACCATCCACCACCTCATCAGGAGCATGCGCAGGTTTTGTATGGAGGTCATACAGACACATGGAAGCCATAAACAATACTGAGCCTCAGTTTGACCTATTTCAAGGACATACTGTTGCATCAAAGTTGAATCAAACTATAGTGTGTTTTTCCACTTTAATTTTGTGTGACTCTAAATCCAGGCCTCTATTAGCTAATACATTTGATTTCCATTGATGATTATTGTGTAATTTTATTTCTTTTTTTGTTGTTGTTGACAGCACATTCCACTTTATACAAAACAAAGTTATTTGAGTGTTCCCTTTTTGAGCAATGTATGATGGAGGATCTATGATGCTGTGGCTTTTTTCTCTCTCAAGAAGCTCCGAAGCTTTTAAAATGACAACTCAAAATGGGTCTGGCTCTTGCAGTGAGATGATGACCTAATAGATCAGCAGACATCGCCTCGGCCCTGAGATCTAAAAGTTAAATAAAAAAAGTACATCAGGGGTTATCTCCAGTGATTGGGCAGATTGACTCTCTCTCTCTTCTCTGTTATTGGGCAAAACTCAGTAGTCCTATTATAGAAAGAGGGTTGGGCATTTTAACAGCAGATGTGCTCATAATAAAAATCAGTTTTAACATAAGTTCAAATGATCTTGAAGTACATTTTAGATTTAGTAAAGAAAGATTTCACTGCTGCTCTGAAGAATCTTTTAATTAAATGCTTTTGCCATATTAGCTTTGCCAGTAGGCTCTGTAAGTATGGAGAAGCATCCCCCATTCCTGTCAGAGAATATAGTCGGGTCTGAGTGTTAACTGTCAGGATCCAAACAGTACGAGCCGCTATCAGCACACAGCAAAACTTCAGTTTAGATAATCTCCCTCAGCCAGGCTGCTGCATCCAGTTAACAGAAAGTCGGTCGAAAACAAGGAGATAAACCTGAGTCACCAAATAAAGACAAACACCCGCCTTCACAAACCCATCTGCATGGAGACTGACGTTCTGCCCTGAAATTTAAACTCTGTCCAGTTTAATTTTCTCAAAGTTTCCACCATTTTCTTTTTATTCTTTTTCTAAGATCTGCAGCTTTTATCGCCCCCTCCCTGTTATTAAGTTTTTCTTTTTTTGGAAAGCAACACCTCTTCACAGTCTTTAAGAAAAAAAACAGATCTGGGTGGAATGGGGCCACCTTTAGGCAAGGCTGCTTTGCCAATATTCAGTATCAGATATCTGCACCTCCTAAAGTTGTGCTTACTGTTAGTGTTGCCTTTCAGGCTGCGGGTCTGATAAACGCAGTCGGCTCAGCTCTGTTCGTTTGTCAACTTATGACTCTCTGTTTCTCTATCAGGAACGCACCAACTTTCAAGACTTTGGAGGAGAAAGTGGAGACCCTGAAGGTGATGAGATTAATACGTGGATTTGCTTGATGTTCCAGATGATGCCATAAGCATCATTATTTTTCTTTTAATTAATGTTATTTTAGCAGAAGCAGTGCAGGAATATGATCATTCAAGTCAATAACGTAATCTTCTCCCTCCTCGTTCAGACTAAGATCACCCCAGCAGGATCCACCAGTGCTCCCAGTAACCAGGACGACGGTGTCCCTGAAACCACTGAGTCTCTGATCAGCCAACCAGAGGACCCTCCCTCTCAGGACGCACCCATGCAATGAGACTCACCTCTTCTCCCTCAGTTTCCCCCCCTCTTTAAACCTTCTGACCCCCGCCACCCTGTCTAGTCTAACTCTTGTGTTGCTCCCTTACTGGAAACAAACACCTTCCCAGTATTCTGTGGCCGCTGTCCACTCTGGACATGTGGAAACTAAAACCAGGGGATGGGTTCAGGCACATGTTCTCCTGTCTTTTGGTGTATGTAGTTGGTTCATGCTCAGTGTGCAAGAAAACATCCTCCTTTCTTGTTGCACTCCTTTTTTCTTTGCCTTTTTTTTCTAACCAGAAAAGCTTGAATGCCAAACATGCTCCAGTGTACTTTTTTTTCTTTATAAAATTAACACTCGAGTGTAGAAAACTGCACATTTAGAACAATTGTACTTAAGAAGTCGATTACAGAAGTATATTAAATGTTGGAGTTATTGTTATTAAACCTGTGTGGTTTTGAATTACTTTATTCTTTATTTTTTTTGTTCTTAGGCCAAACTGTTCACCAGACTAATGATGTCTGAGGCGTGAATATTAATGTTTATGTGTCTTAAGCAGCGCTCTGATTACTCTGCTTTCCGGGTTTGATTCACTGTGCCATAAGTATGACTACTGACTGCAAGCTTCATATTCAATCCTTCCCCATGTCATTGTAGCGACCCTGTCAGAACCCCCCCCCCCCCCCCCCCCCCCCCCCCCATCACTACCATGAACACCCCCTGTGCTTGGAAAGCTGCAGGAAAAGAGCCAAGATCAGCAGAACAGCTCAGAGCAAACATGGCGTCAAGGTCCAGCCTTGACCTGAGGTGACAGAGAAATAAATGCAGCCTCCACAGCCAGCCAGAGTCAATATTTAAACACTAGTGCATTGTTTCTGCAAAAGCTGCAACACCCAACCTACCCATGCTGCGTAGTACACAGCGCTGCCTGTAGTGTTTTTCTTTTATTTCATTGATGGGAGAAAAAAAAAACAGCTTTATTGATCAATTGTTGGCAAGCTGCAGAGTTTTATAGTATTCTTAGAGAAATGCTGCTTTTGCATTCATCAAATCCATCTTCTAAATGCAAAAACTCTTTAAGCTGTTATTTTGGCTTTACAGCCTCATGCTGCTTTCTTTCGATTATATGCTGGAAGCAATAACACTTTATATGATTCGATTTCAAACAGTGAAAATGATCAATAAAACCCAAATAGAGCCGAGTTGAACTAAAAGGACACAATTATTTCTACAGGTCCAAGCTGGTACAAGGTTCCCCTCTGCTGATGGATAACAGGTATTGCAAAAATCAGCTCCCACTGTCAGTATAACTCATTAGTGATACTGCTTGCTGTAAAGACTGTGGATTAGGAAGACATGTTGTGTTGATGTGTCTTTTTTTTCTTTGGTTGTTATCAATAAAGAGTCTCATGTTTTCACTGAATACTATTTTATTGTACTTATTTATTTCACTAACTGTATAATGTACTGTTCAACACTCTAGATGTGTTTCTGTTTATTTATTTAAAGCCTGAAGAAGAACAAAAAAAAATATTAGTTGTATATTAATCTTGATGAAAATTTTTTAGTTTATAAATTTTATTTAGTCTCTACAGCAAAAATTAGAATTTTTATTTCACAAATAAAAATTCAGTCTGCAACTACTTTTTCGAGGACATAATTGACCAAGAAACAGGGAAAACACTTTAATTCAAAATAGATGCAACTTTTAGTAGTTGGGTCATTTTTAGCATCTGAATTGCCAATTCAAGTTTGTTCTAAACTGCTCCTCTGCAGGTCACATGACAACTCCTGCCTAATGAATGAATGCATATTGTTTTTTGGCACTAGAAGCTTTCACATGACAGCTTCTAGTGCAAAAAGATTCTAGTTTTTTTACACTTCCAGCTATGTGTTTTACAATTTTTGAAAGTACAGGAATATAACATTAAAAAATGAAAAGATTTCCTGATTTTGTTTATAAAAAAAAAAAAAAAAAAAAAAAGCTTACAGAATATCAATCATTGGAAGAGGCTTGATAGTGTACAAACCCTGTATGTCAGGCTTAGGAATGTGGAGGCCTGGTTTTATCTTTGACACGTAACCCCCCCAAAATATCCTTTTGACTCATCTGAAAATCACTGCAAATACACAATAAAAACATACGGAAGAGGATTAGGGCCACTGAAAAAATAAAAAAGCTTAACTGATTTTTTTATTTTATTTCAGTTTAATATGGGGAAAAAGTCCGAATTCTGACTTTTATCTCAGAATTTTAACTGTAATCTCAGAATTCTGACTTCTTTCCCATAGTAAACTGAAATAAAATTTTAAAATTTGTTAGCTTTTTATATTTTTACAGAGGCTCTAATCCTCTTCCGTAGAGATGATGGTTTAATTTAATTCAGGTGCAGTACCTTTGATGACCACACGAGGGTAGCAAATCACAGAAGTGCCACCTACTTTTGAGCTTTATTTTCTATTCTCAACCAGACTGCCCGGAGCCTGAAAGCTGGCTGCTGCATTATTGGTTCCTCACAACTGCTGCCTGTTGCGTTAAAGTAGACCTCTTGAGGAGGCAATGTTCCCAATAAGCTTCTGACTATGAGGAAAAGGGTGCTGCATGAGGATTTGACTGAAATGTAGCCTAATGTGACTGGTGCACTGTTGTTTCTGTGCATTAGTGTTTATTTCAGGGGCTTATTCCTCCTCCAACTTACAGCAAGAGTATTGATTAAAATGATGGCATACAATATGTGTCTAGAACAGCTTGGTGAACGTGTTGCCTTGCTCATGTGGCCCTAAAGAAAGCTGGAATTGAATTTACTGCTTTGCGATCCAACTATATTAGTCCACAGGTGCCCCAAATAAAACAAAAAATCAAAATTATAAGAGACCTGTGTTCAAACTTAACACAAAGGTTCACTTTTAATGACAACAGATGTTTCCAAAGTACCCAGTCGCTTCGTGATTAGTATGTTTAGATGTTATAGGATGGTTTTGCTGGCATGACCTGTTACACATGTGATTCAAAGGCATCTGCTGGCAGTTTTCCTGCTCCTTATGGGCAAAGAGCAGTTTGTGGAAAAAAAACTGTCTGGTGAGATTTGAAAGACACCTAAACTATATTAACCAAGTCAGAAGATTATAATGGCCACACTAATATTTTCCAACACACCTTGTGGAAAGAAAACACTTTAATACTGCTGTTTTTAAATATACTTACTGGATCAATTTCCTGTTGGAAAGTCCAGTGCTTCAGTTTTCTCTAAGGATTTTTTGATGGTTTCCTGGTAAAAAGCAGAGCCACCCCAGAGGATCACCATGCCACCACCATGCTTCACTAGCAAAGTTATTCTTCTGCAGATGCTCTGTTGGTCCACTTCCATGTCTGATTTGTTGGCCTGGAAAACTCTTGAACGAGTCAGAACAGGTTTGTTCTTTTGTATTTTGGGTCAGTCAGGGAGTAAAAGACTGTTGTGAATTCTTTAATTTATGCCTCACTCTAAAGTTAGACCTCATTGGCTGCTGCCAGGATACTTTCAAGATACTTGAACTAATTTGACCACCTGCCTCTTAGGAAATCTACTTGTGGATTGCTGTTTTTGCCACATTCCTGTAATGCAGGCCCTGTTACTTTAACTCTAGAGCTCCCTGCTTCCAGTTGTCTTTCTAGAAACATTCTAGCTCTTTGCTTACTGTTTATTACAATACATAAGATTTCTAACATCTAAAGAAACCTCAATATGAACAGTCTGGTTTTGGAATGTTCCTCAGATCAATAATTCTGAACTTTTTTCAGAATACATTATTTTTTTGAAAATTTAACTTTTTGTTGAATTTGGAGGGAAATCTTGTGACTTAAGTTTTTCGATTGCAACCACCTCAGCTCTTTTGCAAATAAGCATAATTAGCAGTGAGAACTTGTTTATTTTACATCCAATCGAACATAAGGAAGTCTTTCCTGATTCTAGAATTTTTTTCAGCTCTCATGTAAAAGGTGAAACTATACTGCAACATAGGAGTGTGCTAACATTAGTGTCAATGCCTTTTCTGCTTATGCTGAGGTTACCCAAGCGAAATCTAAAGATTTATCTGCATGTTTGTAGTTAAAAAAGCTGCTTTCCTTTATAAAAACCAAAAGGACAGACTGGTATTCGGCAGAAGGTCCTTGAAGTTTTGTTGCAGAGGACTGGAAGATGGATTATTCACAATGTTTGGGAAGACTGGAGAAGAAAAGGAACATGACCTGACTATCAAGCGCCATGCTTAAAAGAAAAAGGGTGAAAACTAACTGAAGAACCAATATTTACATTAACATTTTGGCTCCTAAAGTTTAGGTTTTAGGACCTTCTCAGATGTCTGCTCAGGTCTTAAAAACCAAGAAAAAAGGGGGATTTAATACCTTCAAATAATTAAGCAAGAATAGCTCACATGGTTAATAATTACACTTTGCATATATTTGATGTATTTTTAAAAAAAAGCTTTTAGAGCTTTTTAAAAAAAAAAAAAAAAAAAAAAGCTTTTGCGTTCTGCAACCAATCCGAATCTATAAAACATCTAAATCTGGAGTACAGAGTCTCACATAATCTAAAATAAACTAACTATTCTTAGAAGGACATCTACTGACTGCATGCAAACAAAGCAACTGTCATAAAAGTTATATTTCTTTTAGTAAGAGGCCTCCTCCCCTATCTAATAGCACCCTGGACAGCCACCCATATGACCTATATCACTCCACCACCAACTGGCAACAATAGCTAAAAAAAAAAGGAAGAAAATGGCACATGTACAGTTCTTAACAAACAGCTGCCAAAAACCTTTATTCAGTTATAACTGGATGCTGCAGGATGGATTTCTCTGCAGAAAGCCTGAACTGTACAAACAGCAACAACATCACCAGAAAACGCAAAAAATGATAATTATAATAATAAAACACGGTTTACAACGAGAGATATGGCAGTTTCTACACACAGAGCTCACAGGAATAAGAAGACATTACAGTTAACAGTCAGATTCTTCTTATGTAGAAAAAGAAAATCATCATATACTGATAGAATCCATTTTGATATATTTTGTTAAAGAATATAAGGAAACATCCGAGGTGCCTTTGAATATACACTTTGTTAAAGAGCATATTTATATATTGCAAATATACATATATATAATATATGTTGGTGTGATAGATATTCCCAGACTGACTCAGTGTGTGACACTGATGGCTGTTAGGGTGTGTTATGGAGAAGCAAATCCTTTAAAATGTGCAGAAAGTAAACATTCATTTCAAACATGGCTTTGTGTGTGAGGTCCAAATCCCAAATTCATTATTTGGGATAATTTTAAATGATTCTTTTTTTTTTTGGAACAAACTGCTGAGGTAAAAGTGATGGTTGATGCCAAACTCCTATCTGAACGTCAGCTTTGCACAGGTGGCTCAGCATGAAGAGGTCAAAAGGTTGGAAATAGCTTTAATAGTTTTAACACACCATCTTATATAAAGATTATTCTTTTTAAATTCAAGGCTAAACTGAAATCTGAAAGCAAAATGAACAAAACCCCCTGATCCTCTGTCCCCTACCTTAAAATGTACTTCTCTCAAGCAAAATTCTAAATAACGGTAGGTTTGAAAAACAGTTTATCAGAACATATGACTATTTTCCCATTTGCTCATGTTAACACTGATGTTGAACGGGGAAGAACCATAAACATAACTGTCTTCGGAATTCAGTAATAAGTAACTAGAGTACACCTGTGTTTAAGGCATCATAAAAACCAAGGGATAAAGTTCACTTTATAGGCTGGTTAGATTATAAACAAGTCTCTGACTGACTGGTAACATGTCGGGGTGTCCCCTCCCTCTCGCCCCTTTTCCTCAGTCTAAGGTTTGTTTAAATCAGACTAAGTAAATCTTTAAAAACAGGCCTTTTGCACAGTTCCTCTTTGTATTAGAATATATAATTACCTAACAGTTTCTTCAATTTAAGACAGATCTTGCAGTTGAATTTAAAGCAATCTCACCTTGTGTTAAACATCTAGATTGGCTCTACTTGTAAAGAAGATCTCTTTCCCTAACTTTGAACCTGTTGCACAGGAGCCAGGAATTAGATGGCAGCGATTAAAGCCAGCTTACGTTACAGCTTGAGCCTCCTGCTCCCTCCATGCGTCATTCTAACAAACACCGACTGCTTCTCACTGAGGCCTTAATTCCCTGCCATCCCTGCATGCTTCTGCTTAGAAGCAAATCTCATCCTTTCAGCCCAGAGAAGCAACCCTGCATCATGGAAACTGCCATAAAGCTTAGCTTGGTCTAAGTATGCGCTGCAGTTAACCATGTTAATGATTAGTGGCAGGTAGATTGGCGCAAATAGTGCCAGTGGGGGGCTTATTAAGCTCTGTCAGTCTTCTAGCTGGTAGCATGGGAGGCACAACAGCTTGCTTGCTGAA